CGTGGCAATCTTCCATTGAAATATCAACTCTGAAGGGCAAATGCTTGACTGCCAATGTGGCAAACATACACCTTTCCCCTGAAATCCTGGGCATGTTGGCATGGTCATGCAAGGTAAAATCACAGCGGTTTGTGGTGCCAGCATTCCTTGCTTCAAGGTCATGATCAATGGCTTTCTCCATGGAAGACTACATGACCTGCATGCAAAACAACTTGCCCCCAAAGAGCCCCGTGCCAAGCCCGGAGCTGAGGGGCATTCGACTTGCCTCGCTCCCGAGCCGCGCCTCGGCAGCTCCCAGACCCAAGGAGTCCACGTAGACCCGGACGAGGACCTGGCGGAAAACTCGAAACGAGCGGCTCACGTGTCACGTGTCGTCTTGTCCGGTTTGGTGGGAGGAACCCCGAAGAAACTTCAAGTCGGCGAAAGTCATCTCGAAACCTGAAAGATGCTGGTTTTGCGATGGGATGTGTCCAGCGCTTGCAGATGAACTTTTGCCAGGCCTACGCCAACCCATTAGAGGCTAAAACTCGCAGGGGTGCCTTTGACCCATTCAGGCATCCAAAATCAAAAGCTGCCATTGTCCTCATTTTCCCCGAAAGAAAAAAACGCCTCTCAAGCGTGAGGGCGTGCCGAATCTCCTTCCGCTAACGTCTCCTTGCCATCCTTCAGGTCCTGCTTGTGCAGGTAGACCTTGCAACTGGAAGGAACCTCGAAGTAGCCGAATCTCGAACGCCCACTAACGCAAGAGCCAAACACAACTGGCACATGCAAGTTGAGAAACAAATCCCGCCTTTCACTTTGACAAGCTTAAGTCAAGCCGTTCCCCCGCTGCCCAGTGATGGGGTGGAGGGTCGTTGTGGTGGGAAGCACAGGACTGTTCATGCGAGTGAAATAACTTACCCAACAGGAACTTCGAGGAACACGTCTGAGCAGAAAAAGAATATTTCAAGCTCCAGGAAACAATTATTGTTGGCTCCACTTCGGAAAAACCAGCATCGTTGCCGTACAAAGAAAGCTCGAGACCACTCCGAAGGGCAAAGACCTGTTCAGACCCACAACGACCCCTCTGCACGCTCCCGACTCAGCCTTGCCCTCCCGCTTCGTTGCCTCAGGAACGGGAGCCAACCTCCGAATGCCCATGGCAGACCAAGCACCGTCCGCACGCTATTCCGAGAACAACTTCTCTTGCACAGGTTGAATCCAATGAGCGAAGGACAAACAAACCGTCGCTTGATTTAAAGTACCGCAGGCGGGCATGCAGTCGCTTGGGGATATCCCAGGCTTGGTCGGGGGCTATTTTCGGTATGCCACCTTCTTGGGTGCACCAGCACGCCTGGTCTGAGGCTTGAGTAAGCACTCACAATCCAGGTCTGCCATGTGGCTGCAGAAAGCTATCCAGAACACCAGCATGCCGGAATAGCAGGCCCTCAGTCCTGGGGAAGCTAACTCAAGATCCTACTGGTCTGAAAAAGTAGGGCAGCAGTAACTCCTGCTCTGCCTACACCAGCTAAAGCGTCGCTGCATTGCTAAAGCTCTTCCAAGGCCGAACACAGGACCCGTGAGCCATCACACTTTCGTCCTACGCCAGCGCCCCAGCGTCACGCAGCATCGGCTCCAGCTTGCCCTCCTTCTTCAGCGTCCTAAGCTCAAGCAGCATGTCTGAATCCAGACACACACACACACAAGGATTCCCAGTCAGCTCTGCCCCCCCCCCCCCCGTCCCGGGAACCCAACGAGTCACATCTGCCAAGAGGCAAAAGCCCCGGGCCGTCATTGCAACCTGCGCGGACACTGAAGAGCACAGCTACGTGCTGGGACTGGGACGGAGGAACAAATGAAAGCTGCGCATGGCCTTTGTGGTGCTTCAGTGTGCAAGTCAGACCAGTCTCAACATCCCAGAGAGCTCACAAACCCCAGTGGCACATGACTCGTGTCCGCTGCTTTCGACTCCTGAGCCGAGCTTCTGAGCAGGCATTCACCCAGCCAAAACCAAAAAGCCTCGGCCCAGACTCCGTCCTCCGATACCCTGGCCCGCGATGAAGATGTTGGGCATTGAGGTGCGCTTGGTCTTCTTCGCCAGCTCTGCCCTCAGCTCCTTGCCCTCCTCCCATGCCAAATGGCGGTGACGGCCCTTCTGGTTCTGGGTGTGGGTCAAAATTAAACCAGAGGACCGCAGGTTTTACTCCTTCTTTCCATTTACCAGGATTCCATTTTGGGTACTTTTGTTGACCCACAGCCTTTTGTCTTCTCTGGATTTCAAGGCAGGTGACCGCACATTGCTTGGGTACACGGGAGGGACCAGGTGGCGGGCCGCTGACAGCAACTAAACCAAAAGAACCCCCAAGCCCACAGACAGCAAAGACAGGCCGCTCCAAGCCCGCGGAAGTCACAAATGTCAATAACACCAAGCCCACAAACAGTATCAAGAAGGGAAGCAAAACACAAAGCCCACGGACAACTTGTCAAAGAAAAAACATCAAAACCCCAAGCCCACCAACAGTATCAAAAAGAAAACCCCCCGGCCAAAGGAAACACCCAAACGGAAACACCCAAATGGACGCCAAACGGAAACACCCAAATGGACGCCTCACGGACATGCAACCCTACTCCCGTTCCTGGTCCATCTGGTCCAGGTCAAGGGCTGTGAAAGGCACCCCCATGTCGGTCAGCTCCCTCTTGGCTTTGATGCAAAAGGGACACTTGGTGAAGGAGAACCTGGGCAAAAAAAATATTCTCACTTCATCTGCGTGGCCCATGTGCGTGCTTTCGCCCAATAGCACGCCAATCCAGCTCAGATTGGAAGATGTTGCTTGGGAGCTGAGACTTCAAGACGTAGCACTGCCCGGCATCAGCCCCGCAAGCAGGTGCCAGTGCTGGCCAAGCTACATCAAGACCTTGTTGTTCTTGATATAGTCCTGCGAGAGGCGTCAAGGGCCAGTGTTCCAAAACATTCCTCCTGACATTGTCCATCCTCTGTAAATGCATGTCACAAGATTGGGGAGCAAACTTTTCGGGAAGCAAACTGGCCCGTCTCCCTAAAAAACCTCCACAAAAATATATAAACAGCAGTCTTCATTGAATCCCAGACGAACAAATCTCTGCAACGACAAAGGCCACTGGGCAGAGGAGACTTCTGGCAGAGAGCAGAAGGCAGCATGTATTTGGCCATCAGAATCTTGGGTGCCCGCCTCAAGCTTGCCACGGGCCGCCGCCTCATCATACTCCCCGGCCTGTGTCTGGGCAAACCAGATCTTGGCGTCCTCAAGCAGCCGGTCAAAAGAACCCCCATGGTGCTCCAATAGAAAAGCACTGGGCAACCGATAGCTATCAAAGGCTTGTCGCAGCGGTTGCCACCAAAGCACTATACACAGCATGGACTTTACCTCTGAAAGTCAGCCTCTTGCTTGTGGCCAGTCTTGTGCTCTGGGCCCCCGGCATTCAGCGGGGAATCTGACATGGCCTTGCGGCATCGACAAGCCCTTCATCCTTGTATATCTTGCTGCGGCTGGGGGTGGGATTGAAAGTCTTGCTGGTGGCTTGCCACTTGCATGCATGCATTTGTGTGTGTGTGTGTGCAAGTGAAGCCACATTCGGCAACCAGTCAATCGAAACACCCTGCACTGCCTGTTCAGGGAAGCTTCACAGGACGGAACTGTGCCAATGATTCCATGTCAATACCTCCATGGCCAGGGATGCACCTGGATCGCCTTTGGAGGCTGCGGACTACCCACCAACAAACCACACGCTCTCCGAGCTTCATAGCAAAGCAGCCAGACCTTCCTGAAAGCGCTCCACCGACCCCAACGCGACTGTCCAGTCAGTTTTTTCGACCCACTTCACCGGCCTTGGCTATGGAGCCCAGAAATTGCCCCAGGGGGGACTCCATGTAATTCACCCGGTCATCATCCTGGCCCACAAGCGGCGTGGCAGCGCTACGGCTCGGGATGTCACGCAGGAAGTGGCCAAGAAAGCCCTGGGCATTCTGTAGCGCGGCGAAACGACGCATGGGTGCAACGATGTGCCGCGCGTGTGAGGCTAAGTCCGTGGCATCGACAAAGGCAATGGTTTTCATGTCAGGGTTGTTGCGATCATAAAGGACTCGTTCGTCATTGAGATGAGAAGGAATCGTGTTTGGTGATATTTTATATAGTGTCAAAGCAGCCCGGCGAAATGAAAAAGAAACAAAAGGAAAACGTGCGATCTCACTGAAAGATCACTGGCTATCCATTCCGCATACGGAGCCTCCAGTTTGAGATCTCAAGATGGATTTCCGATGTGCTGAATGCGCCGATTGGTGAGGCAGTCACTTCTTGCTGTAAGAAATGAAAATCGGTTTCATGTACTTGGCAAGTCTTAGGAGGCAAACTAGCAGCAACAAGGAGCATGCAAAACAGGTTTGCTTCCAACTGAATATGGCCGGATGAAAGAGCGGGTCGCCTTGTTCATCCACAACTCGTCCATGCTAGGGGCGAGGTGTCAGACTTACACCTGCCTGCCATCCTAAGAGATGCATTTCCCTCAGAACGAGTCACGGAGCCGAATACGAGGCAAAGAGAAAGCTGTCCAGCAACTTGCCTGCTTTGGCCCGATGAATGCCTTTTGTCTCTCCCTCCGATCGATCCGGAAAGCGGACCTTCGCACGCCGGGCAACGCCGGTGCGAGCCTCGCCAAGCTTCCCGACAACGGCTTTGTCCCATTGATCTGAAACGAGAACTGCCAGCTTTGAATTTGAGTTTACTCGCAAGGCATTCTGTGCAGCCCTGAAAAGTTTCACGCCTCTGTCTATGTACGGCTGGCCCCAGGGCTGAATTGTTCAGAGTTGTGTCGCAGCACTCTCAAGAACAAGAAAAAGGCTGCTGAAGACTGACAAGATAGTGCCAACAATCCTCCTTGTCCTCTCCGCACCTCTCGCCTTCCATCCGCCCCTTGCCGCCAGCCCCGTGTTCGCCCTGCTGAGCACCGCGCGCTAAAATGGAAGCTGCCCACAAAGGCAGGCACACCTGAGGGCACATGAGATGAAGGAATCGATCAGAATGAACGAACTCGATGCCAGCTGTGGTCCTACAAACAAACGTGGTTTGGGCCTGGTATATGGAATCTCTGCCACTGGCTTGCTGATTGGTTGATCAAGCCAGGCCAAATGTTGCCCCTTGCCCCCACAAAGACAAAGGTCGTAATGAAGGAATCTCATCGCCATGTATTTGGATCTGGTCTTCTTTTGTTCTCCTAATCGTAAGACAGCACTTCAAACGTGCTGACATACACCAGGGCATGGTGGCTTGCAGCAGTTGGAAGAAAGGAAACCTCACCCCTGCATCGTGACTCAAGGCATGGAGAGGCTGTTGCTCTCCACAAGGGCGCCCGCAATTGAGGCCGACTATGTAATGATACTATGCATGTACAAATGCTATTATATATTGTGATTCATGCACGAGCCTGTGCCCAGGCAATGGGTAAGTTGGGGTAAACAAGCCACAAAAGAAAGGTTCCCCAAAAGCAAACCAATCCCCGGTCCCAAAGATCAGGGTTTCCCACACACCAGAGAACAACAACCAAAGGAAAACCAACCAAACAAGAAAAGGGTTAACCCGCAACCTTGGTCGACAACAGGCCGCACGACTGGTCCCTACCAACCTGGCGGCGGCCCGAGGTCTCTTTCTCCCCCGAGATGCCGTCGGTCGACGCAGGGGTTCGGCGACGCCCATTCGAGGCGCGACGGAACCCAAAACTTGAGCCAAAACACCACAGGTCGGTCACTAACGCGACGTCCCTGATGATGATATGAACCATGGCTAATCACACCCCCCTCACGAGGAGCCCGTCATATGACGGGCGGAGCGTGCCATTTACTGATAGGATTTAACTGCTCGCATGCGTCCGCAAACAGCTGGACACTACCGCCGTCAGCGGTGGAGCAAACCCACAAAGGCAGTTGCGCGACATCCCGGGCATTAAATTCCCGCCACCACCCCGAATTAATCGGGGTAACGCTGTCCAACAATCCTTGTGGAAAAGTCCACATGACGACATTAGGTCACAACTGTTTGCATCAACAATGCAAGAAGTTTAATTCTTATCAGAAGCCATGAAATAAAAGATAACGAATGTCCATTAGTACCCTCGCCTAACGGCAAGAGGTACCCCTGACCATGCGTACCTGGAAAAATGCTTGAATTCCGCAAAGTAACCCCCCATCAGTTTGCTTTCCCTCTCACTCACACTGCTTCCTGATGAACACGTCCAGCAGCCCAGCAGCGGTATGGGAGAGACATGATCTCCGCGCCTCAGCGCTTCGGGAGGAACATCATCACCTCCGCACCGCGCCGACCATTGGAGAATGGACGCAAGCCTATCGGCCGCAATCCTCGTGACTCAGCCTACCGGCTATCGTCACGTCTCCTCCGGTCACGTCCGCCCCGCGCACGGTCCCTATCACGATCCCTTTCGGATCTCCTGCGATCATCTCGCCTTCGATCTCGCTCCCGATCGAGTGAATCATCATCACGACGATCACGAGCATCGTCCCTCCTCCTGTCGCGATCATCCTCGCGCCGCGGACGGTATCTGCGCCTCCTCGACTCTCTGGAATCCCTGGTGTCCACGGTCCTAACGGACCTCCGAGAAGGAGTACGGGAAACATCCGATTCCCTACGCCTCCTCCCAGATCGAGAGTTCGTCACGATCTGGTTGAGAGCCTCCAGTGCCGACGCGTCCTCACCATTTCTGATGAAATCCCTGACCTGCTTGTTCAGCACTCTGTTGGTGGAGATCGACAAGAAAGCGTCCACCACCGAACTCTCAGGCAGCACCAGGAAGTGACCCTCCACCGGGCTCGCCGCAGCCCGCTCAGCAGACTGCAGCCGGATCTCCCCGCCTTCAGGCTTCTTTGCCATCGCCTTGGAGGCCGTCAAAGGCGCTACCGCATCCTTTGCCGAAGATCTGCCAAGCGCGGAGTGAAGATCATCCCCGCTAGCTTCTCTCGCTGCCGCACCTGGTCTGCTGTCGACGTCGCCAGGCCTCGTGGACGCCTCCCGCTTTGTCGACTCCTTCGCAGCCTCGTCGGGATCCCAACGGGACTTCCTTTCTCTCTTCTGCCCTTCGGCCGACCCGCGGCTACCGCCGGGAGCGTCACCTCCGCCTGTCTTCTCCTTCTTGACCTCAACCTTCGGTTCGGCCTGCTTCGTCTCCTTAGCCACAGCTTTTGGAGCCGGAGCACTCTTCGCCTCAGATGCTGAAGCAGCCTTCCCTCTCGGCTCGGCCTTAGGAACCGGGGTCACTTTAGCCTTGGCACTCGGCCTGGCCCCTTCAACCACCATCTCGGCCCAAGACTTCTTCGGCTGAGCTGCTGCTGTATCAACCTCCATCGGAGCAGGTCCAGCATCATCCTTCGCCTTTGGGACAGATGGGCTACCGCCCTTACCGGATCCTTTACCTGGCACTTCACCTGATTTTGGTGGTGGGCCGGAAGGACTACCGCCCTTACCGCCCTTTTCCCCCTTCTTCCCTTTTCCTTTTCCGCCCTTGGGGACCGGCTCCTGCTTGGGACCAGGACCCGGCGCAGCATGATGCACCGATTGGAGTCCCTCGATGTCCACGTTCAATGGTTCGGGTTGACGACCGTCAAGAACCGTCCTCACCCTTTCGTCACTAACGTAGACGAACGGGTCACGGAAGGGTGCGGGAGGCTCCGACTGTCCGGCGCTGATCGCCTTCTGCACCTTGGCTATCGCCTCCTTCAACCTCTTCTTCTCATCGTACCCTGTCTCCGATACCATGTACTTCCTGAGCTGCGAAATCAACGCATGACTCTCCAGGATGTCCACGTCCTTTCGATGGGTCGGGTACAATGGGGTCAGATGACCAGCCGCAGAACCAATCACGTATGCCATCGGAATATAGAATGACAAGTACGTGTCATGACGAGCGAACTTCCTAACGGAAGTCGTCATACGCCTACCCCACTGAGCAGCGTGTCTTGGGTTGGCCCGGAAGTACTCCGTGACCGACTCAAATCTATCGACTTGGTTGGTCTTGATCAGGTGCTTCGCCACCCACTTCTCCACAACGCATCCGAGGCCGAAATCCCGGACACATAGGAGAATTGGAAGAGCACCTTCGCCAGCTCATCCCACGCCGCATCGACACCTCCCTTGTCTTCACCAAGATAAGGGGGAAGTCTGATGCCGCTCTGCACCGTCATCCTCAGATCGGATGCCATCGAATAGGAAATCAAATTCCTCTTGATGACTCCGACCACTTCGGAGGGAATCCTCCTGGGCTTGAACTGCCCCATGGTCCTCACCCACTCCGGCACGATGTGGCACTTTCGAAGTCCTTTTCCTCCGCGTTGGGGATAAAGTTCGGGTAAAAGACCGGGAGCGCGCACCCGGGACACAAGTGCATCCCATTCGGCATCAATTCTGCGCACCTCAAGCAGAACGTGGCAGTCACATTCAGCCTGATCTCTTCCCGTGATCGCCTGTGCTCTCCCCTAACGGGGGTGAAGTCACCGTAGTCCCATGCCCGATGGTACACTATCGTGTAATCATCGTACATATACGCCGCCTTCCAAGCCCCATGTGGATCTCGTTCCTAACGGCAAGAGTCTTCCTTCTCGTCAAAAACACGGGTCCAACCAAGGACCAGTGCACCCGAAGATCCACCATTACCACCACGTACCTACCGGAGTAGTTCCGCAGCCTGTCCCTGACATACCACGAAGGCGATACCTCGGCATCCGGCGCCATGGCTCCCACAAGTGGGATCAGGCCCTCATCCTGCCTACCATCCCCAATGGTCTCGTACACATCGGGCCTCGTGATCAATATCTCGATCATGGCCTTTCCATTTCGCCTCACCCTTTGGAGCTGAACCGCCTTCCGAAAGTCCGAGAACTTCATGATGACGTATCCCACCATGGGGAGTTCATTCCAATGCATCTCATACATCAGAGATCCGCCAGGTGCATCTTCCTGAGTATACCTGTGCCTAACGGCACTGTAACTCAAGTCGCGTCCGATCCGCGTGTGCCTAACGGCAACCAACCTGGTGCTCTCCTTGAGGAGAACGCCATCCCCGTCGTACATGACCATGAGCATCGCCTCCACTTGCCCTATCGGGAAAGCTTTAAGCGTCGGAATGAAGAACTTCCAAGACATCTCAGCGTTCTCCATACCCGAAATCTCCTTCAGGAACCAGATGGCCTGGTCACTTTTCACCCAGTTTCCAGCCTCGCGTCCGGTCTCCTTCAGCACACGTTCCTCGAATAACTCCGAGACTCTCTTTGAATTGATGACCAAGCCGTCGAAATCGCACGAGAGCAGTCTCATCAACTCCTTCGCCGCCTCCCGTCCTGCAACAGTGCCCACGGTCTCCTCGTAGTTCGGGAGTTATTCGCCCAACCTCGTCTTCGAGGGAACCACAATCTGGCAAGTGACGGCCTCATCAGGGATAACTCCCGTTTCCCTTAACTCTGGATTGATCTCTCGCCTATCGGCAAGATAATCCTCCTTCCCATCCAGTATCACAAGATTGTAGGTCATCTTGCTCGCCGCCCCACTAGGCCTGAACTTCCTGCTATCATCCAACTGGTCAGGAGCAAAGGGTCCACTAGGGGCGGCCGCATTAATGAGAGGCGCTCCTCGCCCAGAGCAGAGGTGCTTCTTGTGAAAGTTCACCATCTGATTCAGCTGCGATAGTGCGTAGGCACGATCCTCCAATGACGCACTCTTCATCCCAGCCTCAGTCAGAGGAGCCTCAGGCTTGTCATAACTCGCCTTTCCGCCCCATCTCGCCGCGACCAGCTCAGCAGACTTCATAGGGTCGATCATATTTCCCGACCACTCAGGCATGTTGCTCAACCTCCTAGTCAACGCGTCTACCGACGCAGCCAAGTCTTCGTCCGTCACGGTGTAAGGGTCGACCTTCTCCCTGTCCTCTTGACCCACATCCGGAAGCCTATAATCCCCGCGGATGGCCTCCAGCGCGGCCCTCTCGGCTT